TTTACCTTGGTTCAAGAGAGAGTGAAATAAGGAAGCAAAACACTAGTAAGTGTTTGTTGGGTCAGTTTATTTCTATCCTGGATTTGAAATATAGTGTAGTTCTACACTGTTCTTCAGCTTGTCTCACATTGGAGAGAGAAATGTGGTGTTTCTTTTAAAAATGTAGCATGAACAGGTCAAGATGATCACATAGCATGTATAGTACATTGGTGATGTACGATTTTATGGATAAGGCATTGGGCTAGGATTCAAGAGATCTGGATTCAGTTTCCAGGTCTGCCACCCAGTTTCTGGGCAATAACAGGCAAGTCATTTCAACCCTGTGGGAATGTCTACGAAGTGTTTTGGAGCCTGTGGGAGTTGCAGCCTGAGTCAACAGTCTTGGGCTGGCAGGGTTTGTGCTAGTGCTCTAAAAATAGCAGCACTTTAAAGCCCCCACACTTAGGCTTGAAAGCCCAAGCTCCAGGCCCAGCTGCACCTATTTCAAGTGCAAGCACCACTAGCATACGTCTGTAAATCCTGGCTGAGAGGGTTACCCCTGGATGTTTAAAGCAAAACGAATCAGAATGTGAGTTGTACTTGGTTTCATTATGGAACTCTTGCAAAGCTGTGCTTGCAATTCATAAACAAAGCAAACTGCACTAGAACCAATGTGCAATACAAAAACATAATCTGTGTCAAAGGTTTTATTTTCTTTTGCATACAGTAAGGTAGTTAACAATAACTACCCAGGCCATTGGACATGTTTTATTACAACAGTGTGATACACCAATATAGCTATGCACTTCTGAGACAGTTCTCTTCACTGACAGGTATCCTCTGGCTAGTCTTAGTCATTTGTTTTTAATCCTATATATTTTATCTTGCAACATTAAAATAAGAATAACTATATAACTCTGCCCATAGCATCATAAACATGCCCTACCAATAAGAATTTCTGCCACACTACTCATATTAAAATTAATTGAAAACCTCCCCTTACCTTGGGTCATTGAACAAGGCATCCTGATTCTGCACAGGGCTGGAGCTCCAGTGACTTAATGCAGAGGGGGAATCTTTTTTGTGTTGGGGACTGCGTACCCACAAAAAATCAAAAATCAAACAAAAAAAAAACCCCTTACTGACATAGCCCCGACTGAGAAGGGCAAAGACACTCCTCACATTTCCCTCCCACACCAGAACTTAGGGGGGCTCAGGTTAGTAGATTTTGTGTGCTGCAGCCCTGCAGGAGAACGGGGCGCCTAGCATCCTCAATGCTGGGGGGGAAGAGGAGCCTCAGGGGCCAGATCCAGGCAAGCTGGGGGCTGCACCCTGCCCCTGGGCCTTAGGTTCCCCACCTCTGACTTAATGGCACTTAAGCCCTTGTTTTGCTGAACAGAGATGGTCTTTGCCTACATCTGCATGGGAGTGAGCTATTAACCATGCAGAAAAGGGGATGGAGAAATGCTGGGCTATAATGTGAAAGCTGTATCGAAAACTTGAGATACAATTGATAGCTTTAGCTTAACCCTTCAAGAAGGAAAATGGAAAGGAACAGTGACACTTAGGCTGTGTCTACATTGGCATGATTTTGCACAAAAGCGGCTGCTTTTGTGCAAAATCTTTCTGCCTGTCTACACTGGCAGGGAGTTATTGCGCAAGAACACTGATGTTCTAATGTGTGAAATCAGGGCTTCTTGTGCAAGAGCTATGATGCTTCCGCTCAGGAATAAGCCCTCTTGCACAACTGTTCTTGCGCGAGAGGCCAGTGTAGACAGGCAACATGAATTTCTTGTGCAAGAAAGCCCGATGGTTAAAATGGCCATCAGAGCTTTCTTGCACAAGAGTGTCTACACTGGCACAGATGCTCTTGCGCAAAAGCACATCTTTTGCACAAAGGCACATGCCAGTGTAGACGCTCTCTTACTCAAATACTCTAATGCAAAAACTCTTGCATTAAAGAGTATTTGCGCAAAATCTTGCCAATATAGACCTAGCCTTACAGCTGAACACAAAGATAATGTTCCTCACATTGATGAAGGCAACATATTTCCATAACAGAACCCAGGGGGCTAAAACAGCCATTCAAATATAAAAATAGCACAACTCCCTCACCAAAATCTCCCATCTCTCAAAAATGAATTGCACAGCACTGTCTGAACTGCTCTTGTCTTGTGTGGGAAAGAATCATGAGATCTGGCTTCTTGAGTCTCCTCTTCCTTCCCATTCTTTGTTGCAGGTTCCTTTGGAAAGATTCCTTGCTTAACTAGTTTTCTGCCTTCCTGCAGAACATAAATAAATATTGAGTTGGTAAGTGCAAGAATAGTATGACTCCAGCAACAAAGCTTATGTTCATCAACTTATCTACCCAGCAGAGGTACAATATGAAATGTGGCAGGAAGCCAGTGCAGGGATTCAAGCCAGGAGAGGTGATATCTCTTTTAGGGTAGGATGCCTAAGTACTTCTAGAATAGTGATAGAAATGTAGCCGTGTTAGTCTGGGGTAGCTGAAGCAAAATGCAGGACAATGTAGCACTTTAAAGACTAACAAGATGGTTTATTAGATGATGAGCTTTCGTGGGCCAGACCCACTTCCTCAGATCAAATAGTGGAAGAAAATAGTCACAACCATATATACCAAAGGATACAATTAAAAAAAAAGTGAACAAATATGAAAAGGACAAATCACATTGCAGAACAGAAGGGGGATGCGGGGGGGTGGGAAGGGGGAGGAAGGAAGGTAAGTTCAGAGGAGTGAGAGGAAATGCTTCCAGAGCCCTCCTGGCCAAATTGGGAAGGAGGACTCACTGCTAGATTGAGAGTCACTTACCTATTACCTGCATCTAACACATCTTTATTAAGGCAAAAGCTTGCAGCAGGTAGTGATGAATTAAAAGTGGGAAGCTCATCAGCATGATCTCATTACGGTTGCTTCCAACAGTAGACAATACAGTTTCGGTTTCTCATTTCTCTCTGGTAGAGATGTAGCCGTGTTAGTCTGGGGTAGCTGAAGCAAAATGCAGGACAATGTAGCACTTTAAAGACTAACAAGATGGTTTATTCGATGATGAGCTTTCGTGGGCCAGACCCATCATCTAATAAACCATCTTGTTAGTCTTTAAAGTGCGACATTGTCCTGCATTTTGCTACATTTCTGTAGCTAATGGGCTCCACGCAGGTCTATGTAGCCGTGTTAGTCTGGGGTAGCTGAAGCAAAATGCAGGACAATGTAGCACTTTAAAGACTAACAAGATGGTTTATTCGATGATGAGCTTTCGTGGGCCAGACCCATCATCTAATAAACCATCTTGTTAGTCTTTAAAGTGCGACATTGTCCTGCATTTTGCTACATTTCTGTAGCTAATGGGCTCCACGCAGGTCTAGGATTCCCGCCCAGGTTCTCAACGACAGCCAATGGGCTCCGCGCAGGTCTAGCTGTCCCGCCCAGGTTCTCAACGGCAGCCAATGGGCTCCGCGCAGGTCTAGCTGTCCCGCCCAGGTTCTCAACGGCAGCCAAAGGGGCCCGCGCCAGGCTAGGAGTTCCGCC